AAATTGTTTGTAAAAAAAACTTCAATAAAATAGTCGATGCTATCAAAATATCCAATTCAATTCTAATAGTCCGATTGTTTAAATTATTTTAATGTCCGGTTATAATTTATCTCTAATATAATGTATGTGGCAAAATGAGTAATAAATATCGATTAATTGTTAATTGCGCGTGAAAAACGGCATGCGCTTGTCACATTATTGCAAAAAAGGACATAAATAATTAGTGCGGTACATTAATATAAATATCTGCAATTACCGATATATCCTACCGTTATGAAATTACCGAAAAGAATTACTATATAAAATTATATCCAGTTATTAATGACACAATACGTAGGTACTATTTTTAATAGTATACAGGGTTCGGCAAAAATATTTTAACCTCGATTTTAACATAACAGCCGTTACTCGCTGACGAGTATTAGACACACATAAAGAAGATGGTCACGCAAGGCGTTTTCTTTCATGAACTTTTCTGTGACTGAAAAGCCCGATACGACATTCAAAAATCTCATTGCTTTGTTTTCTCTTTAATTTTTGGTTGTTTACAACTCTTCTCCATTGAGTTCTCTTGTGAGCTGATTTTTCCCACTCATTCTGCATGTTAAGCCCCTTCAAGTTTTCGTGGAAAATGTCCTTGTACCTTTTCAGTTGTCCACCCGGCCTCCTCTTACCGTTTACAAGCTCACAGTAAAGCAGAGATTTTGGTATGCGGTTTTCTAGTTTCATCTTAAGCGAGATTTTGTAACCATGACTTCAATACTCTTGCAGTTAGCTTGTTCAAGGACCGATACGTTTCAGACATGATGGAACCACCGGATTCTTAAGAGTTGTCTAAAGTGTCTCTGTTGCAACTTGTTCATCCAATGTTCAACAATGCGTTCATGTGTCAGCGGTACGGCACCCAGGTTTCACTGCCATATAACATAGTGGGGATTATAATTGCTCGGTACACTGCAAGTTTTGTTTTTGTACTCAGGTCATGATTGTAGAAAACCCTGTCTTTTAATTTCCAGAATGCCCTTGAGGCGCTACTAATCCTTGTCTGAATTTCGGAGTCAATATTGGCCTTTTCCGAAGTCAAACTGCCAAGGTAATTGAATTCCGCCACATATTCCAATAGTTCTTCTCCGATTTTTATAGCATTGTTGTCATCTTCCGGGGGAGTGCACATGATTTTAGTTTTGTCGATGTTTAGCTTAAGGCCCAAAGCCTCGTATGCCCAGGTATATGTGTTCAACATTTCTTGTAATGCGTGTACAGTTTTTGCAGCAAGAACGCAGTCGTCAGCGTATTGAAGTTCTGTGATGAATTTTGTACGTGTTTTTGCCCTGAGTCTTTTTATGTTGAATAGACCGCCGTCGTATCTGTATCTAATGCCCAATCCTCTCTCCTGCAGTTTGCTGTCCATTATAATGGAGAGTGCTACCATGAATATGTTGAATAGGAGAGGCGCTAAGACACATCCCTGCCTAACTCCTGTATTTCTTAGGAATGTGTCGCTCAGTGATCCATGATGTGACACTCTTGACTTGTTGTTATTGAGGCTTTTGGACACTGTAAGAAATTTGTTGGGTACTCAGAATTTTTTCATTATTGCCCATCTCTGTTCACAGAGTCGAAGGCTTCTGTTAGATCGATGAATGCAACATAAAGTTTAGACAGCTGCTCCTTTACTTTTTCCTATATTTGACGGATGGAAAATATGGAATCGGCGCGCGACGGTGCCGCGGTTGGTACGAAAACCCGTTTGCGATTCTGGAAGGATTTCTTCTATATAGTGTAGGCGGTTTGACATTAATTTTGCAAGAATTTTTCCGCGGATAGCCAATAGTGAAAATCCCCGGTAATTTCCACAGTCTGATGCATTTCCTTTGTTCTTAAATATATTCACTATATTCGCGTTGCGAAAGTCCTGTGGTACCTCTCCGCTTTCTCATATGACATCGAAGAGAGCCTTAAGATGACCAATAAGTTCTATACTTGCACACTTATAAATTTCTGCCGGAATCGCATCACAGCCAGCTGATTTGTTGTTTTTATGCTGTTTTATTTCCTGTTCTGTTATTGGGATGTCTAATACATCGAGGCTGTTATATTGAGGTATTGTGTTTAGTGCTTCTATATTGGGGTTGTCTTCTTGGTTAAGGATATGGCTGTAATGTTCTTTCCAGCGATTTCTGATTTGTTTTTTCTCTTTTAGAAGTTCGCCGTTTTGTGCCATGATTGGGCAGCTTACCTTCTTAGTTGGACCGTACACTTCTTTTACAGCCTCAAAGAATTTACGATAATCGTGATGCGTGGCGTACTCTGAATCTGATTCGCTTTTTGTGACCACCAGTTATCCTTTACTTGGCGCAGTTCTCTTCGAAGCGTGTTGTTAGCTGCTTTAAAGTTGTCTACCAGTCTTGGATTATGCGGATTTGCAATGACTCAGTTTGCAGTGGCAAAAATATTTTAACTTCTATAGAGCGACTCACAAAATGTGAGTTGATAGGGATGATTTAATTAAATGGAACACCCCGTATATTATTGCATGATCACTTTACCATAATCCTAGGATATGAGTAAATATATTTCGATAGTTTCAGACATATTAGTAAATAAATAAAAATATATATTTTTCAACCTTCCTTAATAAATTATTACAAATACAAGAACTGTTCTGAAACCAAAACTATATTAGGTATTTACTTTAGATGGTCGATATTTACTTTGCTATAAATATCGTAATCTTAAATCATACAGAGTGTCTATGCTCTGTGTGATTTCAGAGAATCTACGCAGAATCTACGAGATCTACACAGAATTCTACGCCAAACTTTCTAAAATATGAAATAATTTTTCTGTTTTATTAAATAGAGCTAGCCCACTGTATATTATTTTTTCATTAGATGGAGAGTTAAAAAATGAACATTATTTGTTTTATTAAAAGTATTTCAAGATTTTTAATGGTTTCCTAGATACACGCAGTATTATTTTATATGGCGCTTTCAACGGTAAAATCATTGGGTGGCTTTGATAAAAATGTACTAGTTTACTATAATTTACTATTAGTTTTTAGGGTGCTCCTAACTGTATTCCTGCAACTTCGGCAGCATATTCTGCAAATAAAAAAAGTAAAAAAGTTTGTATGAATGTATGTCCTAAAATTTTTTAAATTAATATTTTTTTCAAATATTTTCTGAAGTAACATCGATATTTGGATGAAAATTGGTGTCTGAGTACTATATAATAGGACTACTAAGTAAAAAATATACATTCATGACGTTTCTTGCATAAAAAAAGTCTCTTGGTAAAAATCGCTACGAGTAATGGTTCTCGAGATATTTGGAATCGAAATTATCAATACCTGTCATCATTGGCTTAAATTAAACATATTTTTACTAAAAATAAATATTAGACTGAAATCACACATAAATTTGAACCATGAATTAATTTTGTTTTTGTGTCAAAATTTCCTCAGAAACTGTTTTATCATCATTTTTTTAAAGAAAAAATTATGTTTAATTTAAAAAAATAAAAAAAATCCAATTTATGATTTCAGCCAAATAACTATCTACTCAACATGGTTATATTTTTTTTCAATAATAACATGAATAGACTATTTTCACTTATAATATCACAAGAGCTTAAATTATTTTCGGAAATTTTTTTGAGGGCACGAATATTTTGAAAATTATCCCGAGTCGAAGACGAGGGATAATTTTCCTAAAATATTCGTGCCCGAAAGAAAATTTCCAGAAATAATTTAAGCTTGCGTGGTATTCGGTAAGAAAATTTCACACCTAAATTTGAAAAAAAAAATATTAATCGAACATGACATTTTAAAATAATTTCAATTTGTTAAGTTGGCCAAGGTATTGATGTTTTTGACATATTATGTGTTTTGTCATTTTTGTTTGCGATTCTGTTATTAAGCTATTACTAGTTTTAAAACGTCTGTACGTAGAGTAAGAAGTGTATAGCGAAATGTCGCGATTTGGAAAAGTAAACCAACAAGTCATTAAAGAAGAAATTGAAAATATAAAACCAGATAACACCCGAAAATCAAAATCAAGTGTATATCCATCATATTTCGTTAAATAGAAAAATACCAGCTTTAGTTAAATAAAGGCGGCAGAACTATATTTTTTAGAACATGGCAGTTTCGAAGAAATTCATATGTAGGTATATCTAACAGATTTCCTTAAATAAAAAATATTACCAACCTTAGTTACATCAAATGCTAATACTCAAATGGGTAATATTTCAATATATAGACATTGTAGTTCATTCAAATTATGATTGTAGATCTTATGTTTACCTTTTCAACTGTCAAAAAATTTCCACTAAAGTTTCGTGGCGCCTCGAAAAAATTTCCGGAAATTTTTTCAGTTGCCATGGGAACTGGTCAACATTAAAGAATGTTATTGGTTGAAAAGTAGAGGTGTGAAATTTTCATTCTAAATGTCTTCAGGACGGTTGCTTGTAACGATTTTTACCAAGAGACATTTTTTAAGTAAAAAATCAGGCAAATGTATATTTTTTCACCCAGTAGTTTTCTACAGGTACGGACGAAAAGTTTTTACGCTTCAAACCAGTTAAAAAATAAGCAGGTGGCGTCCTCTACAGGTAGGAGTGATATTGACACCAAAATCAAATTTCTCATGTCAAAAAACTCCCAGATACCAATTTTCATCCAAATATTGACATTACTTCAGAAATTATTTGGAAAAAATCGAAATAAAAATAAAATTTCTACACCCTGTATCTCCAAAACTAAGCATTTAAGACATACATTTATACGAACTTTTTTGCTTATTTTCATCTGCCGAATGTGCTCCAAAAATTATTGCGGCTAATTATGCTGGTGTGTTAGGTTTTTTTTTTAAATAAGTTTCCGGAATACAAATACGGACCGCCCTGTATGTAAAACCACGAATGGTCGAACCTTAATGCTCGTCCAATAACTATTATTAAAACTCCTTGTATATATAATTAGACCTCTCTCTTTCCAGTTATACCCGATCAGGAAGAAAAAATTATCGCCGAATCTATCTTCGAGCAAAAGTACAAGAATGGGCGACTGTCGAAATCTGAAAAGGGGCAAGTCGCTCAAGAGAAAACCAGAAAGTTTGCTGTCAAAAAACGCAAGGAACTGGATCCGAACGGACCGGAGGACAAACACAGGATAGTGCAGTGTATAATGTTCGTCATGGGAATTATTCACCTGCTGCCATTTACCTTTTTCATAACAGCAAATGAGGTAAATAATATCGTACCCTTCGCCTGACGTCATCCTCCAATTTATACACGGTGTCCCAGAAATAAGTGCAAGTATATTAGCTAGTTCACTGAAAAAATATAAGTAGTATTACAAAAAAATATTGATGTATTATAGAATTTTTAATAAGAAACTTGCAAAAACAAGATATTTTTATGAAACTAAATAATGAACAATTATAGCAGCTTTTGGACAGGGTCTGTTCAAAAGCTGTTCAATATCGGATCAAAGCAGTTCAAGTTGTTCATTCGGCCATCTTTGATTTTAGTGAGCCAAAAGGAACCTACTACTCTCTTATTTCACGGCGTGTTAAGTAGATGATGCTGTGATATAACACAATTTAATCATTTTTCCAAATTGATCTTCAACAATTTCAAAAAAACACTGAAGAAAAAGCAAAATATAAGTTCTTTTTATTATTCATATTATACAGTTTAATAAATTTTATTTCCTGCTCCTTTTTGTATATAAACTTCTATATTAAAAACATTTCCAAAGAAAAAAAATCTTTAAAAAACTCCAAAGAACATCGTGCTTTACGGGAACAGCACAAAGAGATGCGCGTTGTTTTATCTCCGCATAGAAATCGGCAATGCTTAAAAATAAAACATTTTTATTAACGTGTATTTACAGACACGAGATGCTTGGGTTTTCCAAAGTTTTGTTGGAATCTCTTCGTGAACGTCCGACAGAAAGATATATATTTCAAAGGGAATATATCAGAGCTATATTTTTTATTCTACTTATATTTCTATATTCCTGGGCATTTTGAGGTATATTTTTTCGGTTTCAGGTAGGGTTTCCATACGTCCGAATTTACCCGGACATGTCCGAACTTTTAAAGTGGTGTAAATAAAGGGATTTGGGAAAGCGTCCGGGAGAACTGACTGCAAAAACAATTTAACTTAAAGTTTTTAACTAAGTAAAATATACCGTGTTGGCAACTGTTACTTTTGGGTCGGCATTTACATGTGTGGAAGTAAATCGCATAGGGATCTTATTAAGTCGGAGTGAGAGAAATAGGACCTACCGACGCGACGCTCGACGGTGTGCTGTTGCGGCGTTGCCGATACGCCTTTCCCTATCAAGTAAAGTAAAATCACGATCGCAAACCGCTTATTTTTAAAAGAATTTTTTTAAGAGATAACTAGGTAAAATCATTAGACATGTTTCTGAGCATCTGAAATGGAATTATAAGGATATCGTTAGGTTATTTTTTTTTTAAAATATTAACTATAAAGTTCTTGAAAAAACTACAATCTATTATTTCTAATAGATTTCGAGATATCGATTTTTGAATTCAGAGTTCTAATAGCGCGACCACTATCGACCACCCACTCAATTCCACTTATTTTTACCAAAAATGCAAGTGTTTCTAGCTTGCACTTAAAAAAATTCAAGCTATAGGGAAAATTACAAAGACTCGTTAATAAATAAACAAATCAAGTATCACGAGACGTAATTAAATCGTGAAGCTGAACGCATGATGTACACCTTTCCCTAGAACTTTAAGTACTGACAGAGGTACTGATTGGGTCGGCCGTTCGACTACGACAAATCTGCTCTATCCCCTTCCACGTCTCTTAGCAATATGTGCACAGTTTCTCGGTTTATTTCATGTGTTTGGCAACGTGTTTACTGTTCCCTCTTTGTTCGGTACATTATAAAACGCATTGAACTCTTCTTACATAAGGAAATCTCGACCCAAGACTAAGCTTTGCCAGCCCTTAGTATACCTAAAATTGCAGTTGAATTAATTTTTCAGATATTTTTGTTGAATATTCTATTCTCTACGATGCTACAGCTCTACTTAACCGAAGCATGTTCGAAAGAACCCATTTCTATACTTTGGCGCACAAGTTTTTCGTTTTTGGTGCACTCGTGAAAAGGTGTTCTGGTGTTTCCCCATCTTGGTCACAATCCGATGATTATTTTTACTTAAAGCAAGGAAAACCTTTGATTTTTTTCGGTCGTAAGTTCTGAGGAACTTTTTCGACGGTCTTAGATTCTTCAGTTCCGCTTTTAGTTGGTTCCCGTTTGGAAAACAGAACGGTTCTGGTCCAGTTAGTGGAGTGTTCGCTACTTTCCTTGCCAGATAATTTGCTTTTTCATTGCCTTTTATCCCTTGGTGTAGAGAACCAAGGTAGGATAGACTGGCTACGATTGGAACAAAACAAATATCTCGCAAAGTCTATAAAAACTCGCAAAAGATATCTCATCATACAGTCTATAACCCATTATACATGGGGATCTTCCTGTTGTAGGAAGGAGCACATCAAAAATCTTAAATCGACCGCGACGGGGTCCTCAAAATGGCCGACTTAAATTCCGGTTTATCGGATATATATTATACAGGGCGAGTCTTAAATAAGTGCAAATATTTTCAGGGCTGGTAGATCTCGATAAAAGAAACATGTTTTCTTTTTGCCATTTTTCAAATAAGTCCAATATAACCGAGTTATTTAAGTTTGAAAATTTAAAAAAAATTATTTTTTTTTGGAAAAATTTTGAGAGCCACCGGATTTTTTTCTGTATTTGCACCCCTTTTCTTGCCGTAACCATAGAGTAAAGCCGAAATTATATCGTGGGACAATTTGCGGTGAACAGGCAGTTCTAAAAAGTTTTCGAAAAATATACAGGGAAATTTAAAAGAAAATGCACGATTTTCAACATCTTTTTTTAGCGAAAATAACCTCATAGACGTGTTCCTGGGGTCGAAATATTCCACCCCCAAAAATATTTGCACTTATCTAAGTATTAAGACTCACCCTGTATAATATAGGATAATCGTATAATATATTATTATATTTTATTCAAAACGTGTAAAAATATGATATAGGGAAAATATGGGCTAGACCCAGTAATTTGTTGTTTTATTTTACGTTGTCAATAAATGTTGGTAGTTATTAAAATTGTTATAAAAATATACAATTTTAAAAAAATAGACAAGTTATAATAATTATTTATAAGCACAAACATCCAGTACGCTACTGAAGTAGGTATCAAATTGACGTATCTAAATTCTTTGACATGTAATCTTTGACAAGCAGTAAATAAAAGCAAAAATGCAAGAAAAAATATATAATTAGTTGATTTTAAGTGAATTTCATAAATGATCGGTTTACTACATGTACAGTTGTACAAATATAGGAAGAGACTTGGGGATAGTACCGGCCGGGTGTTATTTTATATTTCCCACGTCTCTAGCTATACTTGTTAAGTTGTATGTATAGTATATAAAGAGAAATTAAAATAACTTTGGTTGCACATCATAATACGACCACCAGCAAACTCCATATAAGACGACGCATGATGTCATTGATGACGTGCACCCAAAGTTGTTTTAATTTCGCTATAGTCACTTACTAACGAAAAGTTATTCCATTATTTCTCTCGATTCTTGACCGAGATCTACCGCACGCTACACAACCAACTATTTACAGTCTTTTTTGATTAATCGCAATAGTGTCACTGTTAATTTAAGTTCTGCTACAATTTTCTTCTAGATTTATTACCTTTATACAACTAACAGTTGTAGAATAAATAATAAATAACATAAAATAAGGTCAGTAAAGACTGGCAAATCCACAAACTTTCAAATCAAATTCAAATGTGTCGAGGCATCGCCAAACAGAACTGTCAAGGATCCCCACCCTAGGGCCATTTGACCGTCTACCATGCATGAATACATGGATAGCATTATACTCCTTTCGTAATATTTTTATTCAAATAATTTTATGCATTTTTTGTTTCTTTTCTAGTACTGGATGTACAAATTTAGAAATGTCACATCAAACAGTACCGATGCCAATGACAGGACGTACCTTCAAGCCAACTTCGCATCTCTAAACCATTTAATATCTGTCGGGCCCAGTACAGTATTTTCCTTTTTTGTCATATTTTTGGGACACAAAATCGAAACCAGAACTAGAATTATAGTGGCATTGGTCGTCAATTCTTTGGTTTTTGTAGTGGAAACCACATTTGTCAAAATCAACACGGATGACTGTAAGTATTTTACGTAGTTAATAAACGTTTTATTCAAACAAGAATACTATACAGGGTCCGGCAATAGTGCGTCGGGCATCTGTAGCTCCTAGAATTAAAATCTTGAGAATTTTGTTTAAGTGCAAACCTAAAGTATGTATCAGGATGTATTTCAGGAAAATATTTTAACTTCTATAGGGTGGCTCAAAAAAGTGTGAGTGGACCTGGATGATTTTTTTAAATGGAACATCCTATATATTATTGCATTTTTGGCTTCCTTTGAGATCACTTTACATAACCCTAAGATATGAATAAATATATTTCGATAGTTTCAGAGATATTAAAAAAATAAATCAAAAATATATATTTTTCAGCCCTTCTTTAAAAAATTATTAAAAATACAGGAACTGTTCTAAAATGAAAACTATATTAGGTATTTACTTTAGATGGTCTGTTCTTACTTTGCTATAAATATGGTAATCGTAAATCATACAGGATGTTCAATATTTTACGCCAAACTTTCAAAAATATAAAATAATTTTTCTTGGAATACATCCATTCTTCCTGAAATACATCCTGGTACATACTTTAGGTTTGCACTTCAACAAAATTCTCAAGTTTTTTGTTCTAGGAGCTACAGATGCCCGACGCACTATTGCCGAACCCTGTAGATACTTTTCTTCAAAAGAGTCCTACTTATGGGTATTTCACCAATGTAAAGCTTCATTCAGAACCTCGAAATCAGTGGAATAAATTAGTAGTTTCAATTAGCCGTAGAAGTTTGGTCACCTAATTTTAATGTAAACATTCAAAATGTCATAATTAGTAGTAATACTTTTTAATTATTGGAAAAAGTGAATAAACTTTTGACTTTTCCACTAATTATACTTCAAAATTTGCGAGGAATGTCATTTTGGCCTCTGATTATCACCCGTCAAGAAAAATTTTCCTGACAGTCAGAGTAGAGTTACAGTGTCGAATAAAACCAAAGTAATAAAAGGTGTCCATCAGGGTTCAATCTTGGGGCCATTATTGTATATAATTTATACAAACGAGCTACCTAATATAACGAGAGAACATACAACTCTCTATGCCGATAGCACTACGCTGATCTTTGATGCAGAGAATGCAGAATTAATGAGAGTTAAAATTAAAAGAACTTGTGATATATTGGTGGAATATTTTTCGTCAATAAATGATGAAATTAATACAACTAAGAACGTTTCTCTGCTTGGTGTTGTCATTGACAGCAGATTGGGTTGGAAAGCGCATGTTGATGGTGTTGCAAAGGGGGTACCAAGACACGGCTTTGCTTTGGGTATTGTCTCGGAGAATGTAGGCGAAGAAGCTGCATTGACAGCTTAGTATGCTTTTGTGCAATCTAAAATGAGATATGGCTTGATAATTTGGGGAAATTGTACTGATATAGGTAGAATCTTTCTGCTACAATAAAGATGCATTCGAAATATATTTAGGATGAGCCGTTTAGAAAGCTGCAGGAGTGTTTTTGTAGAGAAGGGTATATTGACGCTGACAGGCACGTATGTTTACGATGTCTATATGTTTGTGATCGATAATAGAGATCTCTTTGCAGGCTTTGTTAGTGATCACAAGTATGATACCAGAAATATATATAATCTTATACCTGGAAAATGCAATTACAAAAAATGCTGAGTATTCATTTATAAAAATATTTAATAGTTTCCCCGAAGAGTTGCAGGCCATGTCTCGTGGAAAGATAAGAACTATACTAAAAGATTATTTAACCAAAAAGGCATACTATAGTTTGGCCGATTTTTTTTTCCGATTCGCATATCTCACTTTTTAGTAAGCATGTTTATTGTTTGTTATAATTGTAATGTAGTGTGGACTTTTGACTTAGTTGCTACTACTGTAGTATAGTATAAACTATATATATATAGTATGGTTTGAAAGACTTATTTATTTAAACTGAACAATTTTTTTTTCGAAACATACATTTTATATTTGTTTGTTTTTGAGTATTATTCTAGTGTTTTCCTTATTTAAGTGTATTTATGTGTGTTTTATATTAAGTCTTAAGTCTTGTTTTTTTTGCTATTTTCACAATGTTCCATGCCTGCGGGCTCTTGTTACTTTTGTTAATCGGAACAAATAAATGAATATCTATCTATCTATCTATAACTCTTCCCGTGATCGGAAGCAAAAAAAACTATTTAAAATATCTAAATGCAACTCTTCCAGAACACTTTAGCAATTTTCAAACAGATACTTCTATAGAAACCGTTGACGTTCTGTTTTTTCTTGTAATTAACAATGTACTTACTATATGCAAAATATAAAGCAATGCGAAATATTCAATATATTATATAAAGACAAGCCGCTTTTAATATTTTTATCTACGTCAGTGAGTGAAAATGCGTGAGTTAAGAGCTTCTTAACTCACGCATTTTCATTACCGCATTCCTTGTTTAAATGACTACCAAAGAGAAAAAAATATTTTGTAAAATATTTATTTTGCACTAAATTGGAAAAATAGAAGACCACAGGCAAAAAAGGCGCTATGTAAAAAAACGGGATTTGGATAAAAACCGTTTTAAAGCATTAGGGCCTTTATATTTTTGTTCGTTTGGGGTAAATAATATTCCAAATGATATACAATGTTGCTTCCATGTTTATGATTATTTATTATATAGTTTATTTTGCGAAATTATTCAAACAATATAGAAATTCAACAAAATGGCAAAAAAGCAAAAAAAAAACAAGGTATAAACGCGCTTTGTCATATCATGAGAGGCCAGTAATAATTAATTCTGTCATTAATATTATCAAAGTATTGCTGGGCTTCGAGACTGCAAAACTTTTTAAGATCTTGTAAATCTTTCCACTTTGCATAACTCAATGGTAATGGACCTACAATTTTAAATTCTGTATAGTAACTATTTAAAAAAAATTGTCACACTAAACTCATCATCAAATAGCAAATCAGGCAGTTCAAATTCTCCAGCTTTGAGCAGTTTATTAGGTCGAAATTTTCTATCTGTTGGGGCTTGATTCCCACATACCATTGTAGGTGTTTCTAAAGTAGATTGATTGTGGATGTTCTCTTAAAATATTCAGTTCTCTTATTGGTCTCGTTGAAAATGCACATTGTCTTCTATATCTGAGCTTCAAAAAGGACGTCCAGTTTCTAAAATGATCTTGTTTGGCTTCAACAACTTCAAAGGGTACAGGCTTTGCCCTAGCAGATTTGAAGTGATCATACTGTCGCGGACCGGTGTGGACTCGACCTAACCTCACAATATGGCCCGCCCTCGGATGACCTTAACATCGCATAGACACCGCAATGATTCATTCGTTCGAGAAGAATCGAGTCCCACTGGAATGGACTAGTACATACGAGAACATTCGAAAACCTTTTCTACGCACCTAACGATCTATGGACAATTCTAGAGTTCTTTACCTGTCGGTATAAAAGCCGGCGGTGGTGGCCTACAGGGGGCAGTTATAAATATACCAGTGCAGTTGACGCGCTAAAATTCAAAATAAATTCTTAGTTATAAATCGTTTGTAAATAGTTCTATAAGTCTTTTATCGTTATTGTTTTAGTTAATTAGTGTTAAATAAATAGTGTTTAAATAAATTGTGACTTTCTATCCACACGGAACCGACGAAAAACGTAATAATACCAATCCCTTGGTAATTCTGCATGTATTTTTTGGTTAATGAGACCAAAATTGTCACATTCCATGTAACTAAGGCCTCTGATTGGAAAAGTTATTTTAACGGAATCTAGTCTTTTTTTATGTACTATGTAATGAAGAGCACGAATTAAAATATACTTTTTATTTTGGCTTCGACACGAGTCACAAAATATCTCCAAATGTTTAACATCTTTAGCAAGGAAGTTGAATAAAAAGTAATGGAGTAGAGAGCTAACGGAGTCACTTCCTTTGTTTCCAATAGTTTCTGGATACATGTAGAACACTGAATGAGATGTGGACAAAACATGAATGTTGAATGAATAGATGGAAAGTTGTCTTTTGTAATAAACAGCATTCGTTGTTATATTAGGAACTGGCACATTTTTTGCGTAATCTAAACAGATAGCTTCTGTAGAAATGCTTTTCTGACTCTTTTTCTTTGCATCACGTTTCCTTTGGTAAAATACTTCTGCTTTTAATTTGTGTAACTTATTTTCTATTTCAAGTTTTTTATATCCCTCTCTATTTGTTTGTATTTTAAGGATGATTTTTCTTCTATGCTTTGTTTGCTAGCTTCCAATCCCTTTATTTTTGCCAAATGCAGGTCACATTCACTGCAGCTGTCTAACCTTGGAAAGCCGAAAGCTATATTGAATTCTGAGCTAAATATAGCTCGATAAGTTTCATATGAAACTTTTATCAAGGGAAATTTTTCTTTAAACATATTAAACATCTTTTTACATTCAAATTTTCACTTATAATATCACAAGAGCTTAAATTATTTTCGGATTTTTTTTTGAGGGCACGAATATTTAATTATCCTGAGTCGAAGACGAGGGATAATTTTCCTAAAATATTCGTGCCCGAAAGAAAATTTCCAGGAATAATTTAAGCTTGCGTGGTATTCGGTAAGAAAATTTCACACCTAAATTTGAAAAAAAAATATTAATCCAACATGACATTTTAAAATAATTTCAATTTGTTAAGTTGGCCAAGGTGTTTTTGACATATTATATGTTTTGTCATTTTGTTTGCGATTCTGTCATTAAGCTATTACTAGTTTTAAAAACGTCTGTACGTAGAGTAAGTTATAGCGAAATGTCGCGATCTGGAAAAGTAAACCAACAAGTCATTAAAGAAGAAATTGAAAAATATAAAAACTAGATAACACCCGAAAATCAAAATCATGTATATCCATCATATTTCGTTAAATAGAAAATACCAGCTTTAGTTAAATAAAGGCGGCAGAACTATATTTTAGAACATGGCAATTTCTGAAGAAATTCATATACCATATTTCCTTAAATAAAAAATACACACCTTAGTTACATCAAATGCTAAAACTCAAATGGGTAATATTTCAATATATAGACATTGTAGTTCATTCACATTATGATTGTAGATCTTATGTTTACCTTTTCAACTGTCAAAAAATTTCCACTAAAGTTTCGTGGCGCCTCGAAAAAATTTCCGGAAATTTTTTCAGTTGCCATGGTAACTAGTCAACATTAAAGCATGTTAGTGGTTGAAAAGTAGAGGTGTGAAATTTTCAGGTAAATAAACTTTGGTTGTTTTTCTTAGGCTATAGTGCGTCTTACGCCCTTTGAAAGGTTTAACATAAACCCGGATCAGGTTTCTGGAGTTTTCTGAAAGCCTATGAGGACGATTCAAGTGTTTGCCCCTGCGGTCACGTGGAGCCTCACCTTTCAGTTTCAAGGACTTTTGAAGTACTTCCAATTTTTTCCTTTCAATACCATGCATCGCCAAAAAAGCTTTTCGACATACCTGCTTTTCTTGTAGATCTCCATTGTCAGAGAATCTTATTCTATAATTATAGGATGCATCAAGAAGTACAGCAGCTTCTTCTGGATTACGAGGTAGATGTTTTGCTCGTCAACAGAATTTAATTCGTTAAACCGCCTAATTATCTGCAATCTTGCTACTTCGGGCACATTTTCAAAGCACTTGTAACGTTTGCAACCACAATCTTTACCAATGACATAGCTTCTTGAGTTGATTTTCTTCATTACATCACTTAATTTACCATGCCGTTTTCTTTTTTTTAGTTGATAAATTCAAGGTAGGTACTACTACATCACTATTTTCAGATTCAGACATAATTATTTGTGTTAAAATAAATAAACTGACCAATAATTTACTGCGAAATGCAAACGAAATGATAAACACGCCAAGGTTTCGCATAATTTGACTAAGCGCCTTCTTAGCTACTACCGCACTGACATGGCGCTTTTTTAGCTTGTTCGTCAATATTAAAAATTAAAATAAATCTTGACGGAGCGCATTTGTAGCTTGAACGATAGGATAGGGTGAAACTTTTCCAATTTTTCTAAAAGATGTCACTAATAACTCAATTTCGTTAAAAATTGACATTGCACCTTTTTTGCCTGTGGTCTTCAATTCCTTTTCATTTCGATAGTTGTGTACTTTTTTTTTCGGTGCACCATTTTGCAAACTTAGAGTATGTATATTCATACTTCTGTTTCGATCTTGCTGAAAGCAATCCAGAAATGGCTCCAAATGCCTCTTCTTCAATGTCAGAGGGAATACTTTCGGAATCGCTCATTTTTTAAACTAGTGCCATCAATATTATTTACTGTCATATTGACATTGCCATGCATGGTGTTATTTGAACAAAGGTATTAAGGTAGTTGATTTTTAGGATAGGTATATAGTTAAGTACATACACTCATTTTTAAAATTCATTGTGTGTTTTTATAGTTAGACGTAGATAAAATATTGTACAATACACGCGAGTTAACTCTATTAAGATACTTGTGTGGTTGCACAACTCGTTGTGCAAGTTTTACACGCGTATCTTAATAATGCTGTTAAGTCACTTGTATCGTAAATATCTATTAATCACTACTACGTGTCATTTTACCATCTGCCTCGTATTTTTTAGGGCAAGTGGGATTCTTCGCACTCACTGTCACACTGATGCTAGTCCTGAGTTGCTCGATGACATTTTCCAGTTCCGCCAACATGACCGTGGTGTCAAAATTCCCTGACGAATACATGAAAATGTACATGATTGGTGAGGGCATAGCTGGATTATTTTCGGCATTACTTAGGCTTCTATCCATAGCAGTAGCACCATCCACTGAGGGTGCAGCCTTGATATACTTTGTAACCGGTACGACTATCATGACAGTGTCTTCCTTCCTGTTCTATCTTAGTACTCACACGGATTTTTTCAAGTAATTATTTAATAATTATTGTATAATATATTATTAATTTATAGTATTAATTAATATTATTTTTTCCATAGCAACTGTTAAAATTGCCTTACATCTATCAAAAATATTAGATAAAATAGTACTTTAACCGCAAGGGTAGATTAAATGATACTTTAACAGCGAGGATAGGTTAAAAACTTTATTTCTTCTCGCACGTTTTTTTAATTGCTTCCATTTTTGAAAATTTTTGTATTCCCTTTCATAAATTATTCGGGATTTAAATGGAAGTAGTTTGGATATTGCGTTTGTCACCTCAGCCTGAATATCTGTTGGTAATTTACTTATTTCGTTTTGAGCCATTTCTGGCTCCAATTCAATCAGCAATCGACACGAAAGAGAATGAGAAAATATTGACTCAAAACTGACAACTAAAGAGACAGCTTTATTTATTTGTGAAATTATATAGAAACCAACGCCAACCCAGCACAATATTTTTTCTACTCGTAATAAATTCCTTGAAATAATAATTTCTGAATATTTTTTAAAGCGTAACTCGCTATGAAAAAAATATTGTTCTATACACGACGATAAAATTGCATTATCATCTCCCGAAATTAGTAGAAATTAATCTTTTCGGTCGACGATAATATATCATTTTATCGTCTTGTATAAAAAATAAATATTAATAAAATGGGAAGAGATTTTTTTATTTGAATATTATTAATAAATATTGGTGTTACAAATAGAGACTTTATGGACTGAAATGCGTTTTTCCAGGTACTACACGAAGGATATGAAGGAAGACACAAAAAGACGCATACCTAGGCTATCTGAATTTGTTGATGTACTGAGGTACACATGGCCTTTACTTATCCTCAGCGTAGTGGGGATTCTGATACCTCAAGGGTCTATAACTAACCTGATCGTTTCAGAGTACTATGGAACTGACAATGTTTGGGGCAGTAAGTAATTTATCAAAAAGAAAATAACACACTTACATTAAAATGCATACCGGGTGGTGCATCGTCATTGGAAACATAAAAAATCCCATGCAAATTTTGAACTGTCCAAATATTGGCTCTCCTATTAATTTTACAACTAAGGTGTAAATAGGTTTTTAAAGGACTGCCAATTTGCCAAATTTGAACAATTTTGCACAAGCCGACTTTAAGTAATAGTTCAAGAGCCGGGTACAAAAACATGCAAGAGTTTTCTAAAGGCTCATATTTTCAAAATCGATTGCATTTTAGTGTTAAAAAGCAAAGGTACAGTCATTAGTTCCAGTTCCGGGACACCTGGTGCTGAGAAGCGCGCAAAGAAAGAAGTAGTTTTAATTAACACCTCCAAACTGTTTTCTGAAGGCTGAAAATATGTAGATAACATTCATACAAAATAGAGGATAATTCGTCGATTCTAAAATAAGAAAGAAAAATCACTGTTCCAGTGTTTCCACGGTCAGTGCCAGTAGTAATATCGCAACTACTACTACTAATACTACGACTGATCCGCGAGCAATGCCCATACCACTAAAGTCGCTACTAATACCAAATTGTGCTATACTGCTAATGGCACTAATGCGATCGCTTTGTACACAACAATGCCATCGCGGTTTACACCTCGCATTAGTATATCACTGATTGGCAAATTAGAGGAAACCAAGAATGTTTTTCTCATTTTATCAGCAAAGTCGCAAAAAGTCGCAGTATTTTATTTTACTGTATGAAAGCCCAATGTTTACTAAGTAAAACGTATATAGACAATATGCTGAATTCTTCGAAATGCGCAACTAAATCTCTAAGTATAATAAAAATGTCACAAATTTAATCAAATTTTCTGAACGCCTAACTTTTAGTTGCAAAAAAAATCGTTAGTATAGAGAATATCAAAATAAATAATACGTTTTTGTAGAATACATACCTGCAGGTTGCTGAGCCATTTTCAATCAAAACAATAATATAAACTTAAAAAGAGCACAAGAACAAAAACAATTTATAATTTTAAACATAAATGCAATGTAAAACAAAAATATAACAGTCAGACAGAGCTGTATGCGTCACAAAGCGTCAGCTCTACATCAAACGCGCTGTCAAAAAAATGTCACTCAAAGTGATTTCTGAAAGCTGAAACTTTGCAAGAAAACAGTGAAAATAATAGATTTATTAATATAAACAGTTAGACAGCGCGCGTATGGGCGGGTCTCTTCTACACTACATACGGGGTGGTCCGAACTGTACTCCGGAAACCTCGGCAGAATATTCTGCAGATAAAAATAGGTAAATAAGTTCGTATAAATTTATACCCAAAAATGCTTAGTTTCTGAGATACAGGGTGTAGAAGTTTTTATTTTGATTTTTTCAAGTAATTCCTGAAGTAACGTCAATATTTGGATGAGAAATTTAATTTTGATATTAATATGACCCTAATTTTTTAACTAGGTTGAAGTGTAATAACTTTTCGTCCGTACCTGTATAAAACTACTGTGTAAAAAAATATACATTTACGACGTTTCGATATTTGGAATCGAAATTATCAATACCTGCCATTATTGACATAAATTAAACATGTTAAGTAAATAGTTATTAGACTGAAATCATAAATTTGAAATTTTTTGGGCCAAAAGTCCAACAGACATTGTTTTATCATCATTTTTTCGAAGAAAATTTCACACCTCTACTTTTCAACCAATAACATGCTTTAATGTTGACTAGTTACCATGGCAACTGAAAAAATTTCCGGAAATTTTTTCGAGGCGCCACGAAACTTTAGTGGAGATCTACAATCATAATGTGAATGAACTACAATGTCTATATATTGAAATATTACCCATTTGAGTTTTAGCATTTGATGTAACTAAGGTTGGTAATATTTTTTATTTAAGGAAATATGTTAGATATACCTACATATGAATTTCTTCGAAATTGCCATGTTCTAAAAAATATAGTTCTGCCGCCTTTATTTAACTAAAGCTGGTATTTTTCTATTTAACGAAATATGATGGATATACACTTGATTTTGATTTTCGGGTGTTATCTGGTTTTATATTTTCAATTTCTTCTTTAATGACTTGTTGGTTTACTTTTCCAAATCGCGACATTTCGCTATACACTTCTTACTCTACGTACAGACGTTTTAAAACTAGTAATAGCTTAATGACAGAATCGCAAACAAAAATGACAAAACACATAATATGTCAAAAACATCAATACCTTGGCCAACTTAACAAATTGAAATTATTTTAAAATGTCATGTTGGATTAATATTTCTTTTTTCAAATTTAGGTGCGAAATTTTCTTACCGAATACCACGCAAGCTTAAATTATTCCTGGAAATTTTCTTTCGGGCACGAATATTTTAGGAAAATTATATTATATATATAATTTTCAAAATTTTCGTGCCCTCAAAAAAATTTCCGAAAATAATTTAAGCTCTTGTGATATTATAAGTGAAAATTTATGATTAATTTAAAAAAAAATCAAAAGTTTCCAAATTTATCATTTCAGACAAACAACTATCTACTCAACATTATTTTTTGTCAATAATGACATGTATTGACTATTTCCATTCTAAATATCTTAAGAACGGTTGCTCCTAGCTATTTTTACCAAGAGACATTTTTTACGTAAAAAATCACGGAAATGTATATTTTTTCACTCGTAGTACAGGTACGGACGAAAACTTATTACTTTTCAAAACAGTTAAAACATATGTAAGTTGCGCCCTCTACAAATAGGAATCATATTGACATCAAAATCAAATTTTTTGTGTCAAGAAACTCCCAGACACCAATTGTCATTCAAATATTGACTTCAGAAATTATTTGGAAAAAATCGAAATAAAAATGAAAGTTCTATACCCTGTATCCCCGAAACTAAACATTTTAAGACATACATTTATACAAACTTTTTTACTTATTTTTATCTGCAGAATATGCTGTCGAAGTTTCCGGAATACAATTCGGACCACCCTGTATATCGATATTCATCAATAATTTCACACAAAACAAAATAATTAATGTAAAACTTTGGTAAAAAATGCTTTATGCAAAAAAACATGTGTCATTTTTTATTTGAGACTGATTTCCTCCGACATGAATTAAACTACACGATTTAAAGTATATTTCTTTATAATATTTGTTGAAATATCAATAATATATACTCACAAATCTAAAAAAAATATTTTATTTTGTGTGAAATTATTGATGAATATCGATATACTGAGTAAATCAGCTTATCCAAAATTGTTCAAATTTGGTATGTGTATTCAACACACATAATACAGACCTTTAAAAACTTATTTAGGGGATTTCGCTGTAAAATTAACAGGGAAGTCAAAATGTGGACAGTTTTTTGCATGCGATTTCCTATGTTTCCAACGACGATGCACCACTCGGTAGAACATACATTATAAGAAAATTTAAATCATATACAGGGTGGCGTCTTTCATACGCCGCGGAATTTCCAAGGAGAACGGTAGTCTATATGGAAATGAAATTTTGGCAGCATATGTAGGTTAACTAAAAGCATTTTATAAAAATATATAGTATTATACAGGGTGACCCGAAAAAAAGTTACAGATTGTGTTTTTTCTAATGGAACGCCCTATTTTTAACAATAATTAAATAATAAAAAACAGAGAACTTTTCCATTTTTTTTTGTTTATAAACTTACGTGCATAGAAATCGGCCCACGGTGAACTTAACGGTGGTTTTAACTGTGTCTTTTAGAATCTATTTATCAGACAAGTAAAAAATATGAGCTGTTTCAAAGACAATTTAACATGCTTTAATAAACAAATAAAAGGTATTTGTGTTGTGGTGACAATAAGAATAACAAACTTGTCAAATATTGCAATTACTACCTTTGTAATCGATTTTTCACATTGTTCTTTTATTCTTTGATTAGTTGTTTTATTGTTTGATTAGTGTTTCAATTTAATGCATACATTACCGGAAAAAGCCGCCCAAGTAATCGCTTTAATCGAAAATGGACTTAAACAGAGAGCTGTAGCTCGGCAACTACATATGACAGCGGTTCGAAGAGTGTGTGACCGATATGAGGAGACTCGATCCTTTCGTAGTCGACCTGGAACTGGTAGAAAGAGATATACAACGGATTGTGATGACCGCTTTATTGTGTCAACAATGTTAAGAAATCGACGTCTTAATGCTATTCAGGTGCAGCAACAGCTCCGTGAAACACGAGCAGTGACTATTAGTCAGTGGACAGTAAGACGAATATTGAAGGAAACTAATATGACCCCCAAAACACCCGCAATTGGTCCAAAACTTCCCCAGCTCATTGTCAAGCACGCTTGCGTTTAGCGCTAGAACATCTGAATTGGACACTAGAACAATGGGAATCTATTTTATACTCAGATGAGACCAGGATATGCCTCTATGGTAGCGACCGAAGAAAAAAAGTGTTCCAGAGGCCAGATGAGCGATTCGCAGAATGCTGCATTGAGGAGCGGATTGCTTATGGAGGTGGTTTCTGCATGATCTGGGATGCAATTTCTATAACTGCGCGAACCGACCCAGTTTTCATCCGTTGGGGCGACCGCCGGCACGGGAGAGGAGGTTTAACTGATGCTAGGTAATTGAGGAGTTTTTAGCAGTTCATGCGGTACCTTACGTCGACTACATTGGAAACGAATTCACATTTATGCATGACAATGCGAAGGCACATACATCAAGAATCGTACACGATTACATTTCAGAAGTCGGATTTCGGGTTATGGAATGGCCAGCATGCAGTCCAGACTTAAACCCGATAAAACATTTATGGGATGAGCTAAAACGAAGAATTCGTACTAGACGAAGAGCCCCAACTTCTATCCCAGAGCTCATTGTTGCAGTAGAGGGAGAGTAGGGCTTAACATCCCGCAAGAAACAATATCAAATTTGGTCGAATCTATACCAAATCGTATGAGAGATGTTAGAGCAAGAGGGGGTCATACCCATTATTGAAAATTTAGTTTAGTTAATTGCCCATAAATAAATAAATAAATAAATAATTACATACACCTCTTAGTAATAAAATCGATAATTTGTTTCATGCATTAATTTAATAATTTTAATCCAAAGAAACCAAAATACAAATTGAGACAAATAGATTATAAAAAATATATAGTTAACTTCAAAAGTTTGCCTTGGACCGATTTCTATGCACGCAAGTGTATAATCATATTTCTAACACTATATATTAATTGATTTTCGGATTCCAGAAAAAAAATAAAGGTGAGATTTATTAAAGAAGCGTATACCAAAAATCTAAGGATTTTGACATGTTTCACATTTTGTGAAAATAAACAGTAAATTACAAATTTCGATAATAGCTACCTAAACTTTAGTTGACCTTGTATACAAAAATTAAAGATTGTAGAGTAAAATACTCGACGGTAATAAAAAGATAAAATATTTTAGGTATTACAGAATTAAAACTAGATATAAAACTATAATTATGTGACGTTCTACCTCGAAAAGCAGTTACAATAATTTCTCTAATGTTGTCGACAAGTTGTTGTAGTTGGTCGAGTTTTGTAAACGCTGTCTTTAACATATCCCCATAAAAAAACAGACTAGATAAAATCAGGAGCATTTACGTATTCTATTAATTGGTGAACGCACACTGCATTTACCAACTAATAGAATCATATCAATTCTCTCTGATGTAGGATAAGTTTGCATTTTCGGCAAATTTCTGAGAATTTTTTTGTTTTAATTGACACAAAATAATGACTAGTTGTTAAAGTCGGACTAATTAGGCAGATATATTGAAGTAACGTCAAACATCACAGCCACCTAGATCTTATCTATATATATAAATCTGACTGTCCTGACTGATACTGACTCATCAACGCCCAGACCAAACCCTTGACCCTAGAAAGCTGAAATTTTGCACAGGGGTTCCTTTTATGATGTTTACGTAAGATAAGAAAGGATTTTTAAAAATTCATCCCCTAAGGGGGTAAAAAGGGGGGTGGAATATTACAATATTTTTTATTTAAAAAACGGTCAAGTTTCCGAAAAAACGCTTAAACACGTATATTTTATTTTCTTTTTTTACATATTTTCAGATTTTTTTAAAAATGTATACAGGGTGTTTCGAAAAATTTGGTCATTGATTAATCACGATCCTGCTTAAAGCGCTTGACGTAAAAAGCTGATTTTGGAAAACGGATTGACTTTAGGGTGTAGAGGTTCGATAAGAAGCGATTTTTCGAAACTCGAATTCTAAGGGGGTGAAACCGCCCTCAAATATTAGAATATTTTTTATTTAAAAAACGGTCAAGTTTCCGAAAACGCTTAAACACATATATTTTATTTTCTTTTTTTTACATATTTTAAGATTTTTTAAAAATGTATACAGGGTGTTTCGAAAATCTGGTCATTGATTAATCACGATCCTGCTTAAAGCGCTTGACGTAAAAAGATGATTTTTGGAAAACGGATTGACTTTAGGGTGTAGAGGTTCGATAAGAAGGGATTTTTCGAAACTCGAATTCTAAGGGGTGAAACCGCCCCTCAAATATTAGAATATTTTTATTTAAAAACGGTCAAATTTCCGAAAAAACGCTTGAACACGTATATTTTATTTTCTTTTTTACATATTTTAAGATTTTTTAAAATGTATACAGGGTGTTTCGAAAAATCTGGTCATTGATTAATCACGATCCTGCTTAAAGCGCTTGACGTAAAAAGCTGATTTTTGGAAAACGGATTGACTTTAGGGTGTAGAGGTTCGATAAGAAGGGATTTTTCGAAACTCGAATTCTAAGGGGGTGAAACCGCCCCTCAAATATTAGAATATTTTTATTTAAAAACGGTCAAATTTCCGAAAAACGCTTGAACACGTATATTTTATTTTCTTTTTTTTGCATATTTTAAGATTTTTTAAAAATGTATACAGGGTGTTTCGAAAAATTGATTAATTGGTCATTGATTAATCACGATTCTGCTTAAAGCGCTTGACGTAAAAAGCTGATTTTTGGAAAACGGATTGACTTTAGGGTGTAGAGGTTCGATAAGAAGGGATTTTTCGAAACTCGAATTCTGAGGGTGTGAAACCACCCCTCAAATATTAGAATATTTTTTATTTAAAAACCGGTGAGTTTTTCGGAAAAATTCTTAAACATGTATATTTTATTTCGTTGTTTTACATATTTTAAGATTTTTTAAAAATTTATACAGGGTGTTTCATAAAATATAACCATTGAGTAATCACGATTCTACTTAAACTGTTTGACTTTTAAAGCTGATTTTTGGCAAACGGATTTACTGTGGGGTGTAGAGGTTCGATAAGGAGGGGTTTTTCGAATTTCAAATTCCAAGCGGATGAAAACGACCCACAAATATTACAATATATGTTATTTAAATACGGCGAGCCTTTCGGGAAAACACTTGGACACGCATAATTGATTTTGTTTTTTACATATTTTGAAATTTTTAAAAATCATACAGGGTGTTCCAAAAAAGTTGGGTAATTGATTAATCACGATTCTGCTTAAACTGCTTGACGTAAAAAGCTTATTTTTGGCAAACGGATTTTTCGAAAGTCAAATTCCAACGAGATGAAACTACCCTCAAATATTATACCAAGTTATATAATAATATCGCCATATTGTTTTTTCTCATGCTGACATAAATGTAAGAAAATTTTATCTTAGTTTGTATGTTAATGGAAATTCTTGCTTTGCTTGATCATCACCATTACAAATGATTAATCCGACGCGAACGAAGTCGCGGGTACACACTAGTTAAATAATAAAGATCTACGCAAATCAAATCATGTAAATGAAAATATCTAGAAAAACCTTTATTTGAGAGGTAGGCAACCTTAATAGTATTTTGAAGAGACATGAATTATCCATTGTATATCGGTATAATATACTGGGTGTTCCATTTAAAATAAAAGAGTAACATGCTTTTAACGGTGACCAATCTCCAATATTAATTTTGTCTCACCCTGTATAACTTTTTGGATCAAGTTTTAACTTTATTTAAAGTACAATAGTTAATTTAACTACATATTAGGCTATACCGGGTAAATTCCAATTTAGGTAGATTTTTTATTTCTAAAAAACCTTGCATTTTAGTCATATACTTCTCTTATAAAACTCACCTTTATTTTTCTCCCAGAATCTGAAAATCAATTAATATATAGGGCGTTCCATTACAATAAAAAACACAACTTTGATATGTAACTTATTTTGGGGACACCCTGTAGAACCCGCTATATTTTTAGGAAGTGCTCTGAATTAGCCTACATGTGCTCAAAAATTTTCATTTCAATACAAACTATCGTTCTCCTTGGAGAATCTGCGGCGTATGATAGTGGCGCCACCCTGTATAGCTAAAAAATAAAATAAATATTTTTGATAAAATTGGGTCTCTCAAATTCTAGAATCAAATTGTAATTAATCAAAGACATTTTTCTGTTTTGCGTCGGCAAATTATTGTACGACTTTGTTTTAAACTAGTCTAACGAGATTTTAATGCCTGTCCTGGCTCAGTTCCCTAACGGATTTAGAATACAATTTTTCTTTTTTTTTGTAGCTAAATACTTTATAACAGTGATTACCTATTTACTGAATTCTGTATGTGGAATAGCTGGCAGACTGCTATTTTATGTCTGCGAAATCGTAAGTATCGTTTAATTTAAACTATATAATATTTAAACTGTACAAGTTTTATGTAAAGAAGAAATACCGTATGATCAAATAAAAACGGCGTCCAGTTGGCTTGGAAATGACGATGATGGCATTTCCTATATAAATTTACATATAAAATGACAGCGATCTTCATTTCATAGCCATCGCTGACGCCGTTTTTATTCGATCATACGGTATGTTTTTTCAATAGCAACTGTTAAGATTGCCTTATATCTATCAAAAATAGTAGATCAAATAGTACTTTAACCGCAGGGGTAGATTAAATGATACTTTAACAGCGAAGATAGGTTAAAAACTTTATTTCTTCTCGCACGTTTTTTAATTGCTTCAATTTTTGAAAAATTTTGTATTTTTTTTTATAAGTTATTCGGGATTTAAATGGAAGTAGTTTGGATATGGCGTTTGTCGTCTCAGCCTGAATATCTGTTGGTAATTTACTTATTTCGTTTTGAGCCATTTCTGGCTCCAATTCAATCAGCAATCGACACGAAAGAGAATTAAAAAATTTTGACTCAAAACTGACAACTAAAGAAACAGCTCTATTTATTTGTCAAATTACATACCCAAGTAGCAAAATTACGTTGTTCAACGTAATCACAACGTCGCCAGGAGCAACCCAACGTTGCCGGACAACGTCGACGCGACGTTTCAGCGACCCATATTGGCACCAAAATGGTGGATGTTTTTAGGGTCGCTACAACGTCGCGACGTTGTTTGAGGCGACGCAGTACGTCGTGTGCTAAAAGTTGTTTCTCATGCCGATTCGCGATATTTTGGGGTTAGAGTTAAAAATATTCGTCGTCAAATATTACTATATTCAACCATGGGGAAACCAAAATGAATGATGTATGAATTAGAAATGGAATATATTATGCTCCATTAAGAAATAACTAGGTGAATTTAACTTCGACAAATCTGCAAAGTTTTGAAATGTCGGCAATTGAAATTCATCAACGAAGATTAGTTTACTGTTGAAAGTGATCATGATACTTCGAAATATGGCAAAACCCCTTTTTTATTTCCTAGTTTTAATTTTAAAATTATAGTTTACTAGGTTAACCTAACCTTTTTTTTTTAAGTTTGAAACAAATATACGAAATCTATCAGGAAAATTAGCTTACAACCCTCACAGATACAGTTTTTTAACAATATTCGCAGTATTTTGTGGTTTCGATGCGTCCACATCGCATGAAAAGATAAATTGTATTAAAATGGCTGAGTTGCCTAAGATAACTTTTAAAATACCAATATAGTGCATAAGATGCGGTAACCGACCTTTGGGTCACCTATGCCAATCTTTGGTTCAGAAATTGACACCTGCTTTGACGAAATAGGACCTCTGAACCCTACCGACATCTAGGAGGTAAATAACAAAATTCCTTCTTACAGTGCTCTTTTTTACCAAGGAAAAATAAAATTTCAAATTAAATTATTACCTTTAGTATTTATTCATTTTCTATTATTTTTAAATCACGCAAATGGTAATATAAAGGGTCATTTTTGCTACTAAGCAATAATACAAACTACAAATACTAAAACTTTTGTATAGAGATAAATTGTGTTCAATTAACATATTTTGAAAAAAAAAACGTCCCCAGAATATTTTGACACCCTGTGTAATTATGGCCAACAAATTTGCTTTTATTATGTTTTTTTTACTATTGTTTTAGGATCTTTCATTCCCTCTCTTATACGTTGTCTCTCTAGGACGTGAAATCATATTTACACCTCTGTTGGCACTGTGTAATGCCAAACCAAGGCATCACCTACCAGTGATATTTGGCCACGATTGGCAGTATGCCATCATTGCTGGCACTCAGTCATTTACCGGAGGATATTTCATGAACATCTCATATTTAAAGAATCTTAGGTAAGGCCAGATATATAGTTTTAGGAATAATGAGCATGTTGAACGGTACGCAAAAGTTCTAATCAAGGTGCCCCTATGTTTGCGCTTAGGTCTATATATAGAGGCAACTCAGAAAGTAATAGTGAATATAAGTTTCTTGACGATTATCTTTAGTTACTTCTCAGTTCCGTGTATACAGGATGGTCCGAATTGTATTCCGGAAACTTACAGATAAAAATAAGTAAAAAAGTTTGTATAAATGTATGTCCGGAAATGCTTGGTTTGGGAGAGAACGTTTCGCTTAGAGTTTTGGATATATTTGGAATCTAAATTATCAATACCTGTCATCATTTACGTAATTTAAACATGTTGACTAAATAGTTATTAGACTGAAATCAAAAATTCCCAAATTTACCATTTCAGTGAAGTGCCAATAATGACATGTATTGACTATTTTCATTCTAAATATCTTGAGGACGGTAGCTCGTAGCAATTTTTACCAAGAGTCCTTTTTTACGTAAAAAACGTCGTAAATGAATATTTTTTACTCGGTAGTTTTATACAGGTACCGACGAAAAGTTATTAGTCTTCAAACTAGTATGTATATGTACTTATGTAGGTGGTTTGGCATATTGACATCAAAATAAAAAATTTTATGTCAAAAAACTCCCAGACACCAATAATTTTCATCGAAATATTGACGTTACTTCATAAATTATTTGAAAAAAAAACGGAAATAAAAATAACATTTCCACACCCTATATCTCCGAAAGTAAGCATTTTAGGACATACATTTATACGAACTTTTTTACTTATTTTTATCTGCAGACCCAAGTGGCATAGGAAGGAGAAAACAACATTGACCACCGAAAATTAACCACTATTTGGTTGAATTTTACTTATATTTAACTTAATAAATTTCTTGTAGGGAATAAGGTGGGATAAATAAATAAAAATAAGGTCGTAAACTAATTAAAAATAACCTAAAATTATGCCTTTGAAAAGTAGCAGTTGAAAGTAGCAAGTTGGAGTTAGCTGGCATTGTTAAAATCTAGTTACTGATAACCTATTGAGGGCATTAAGACCACAGGGAATTAAAGTAGGTCAAATGTTACTTTATTATAACCTCAAATTTGTCTCGGGGTCGAAGGCATTGTTTGGTTTTCAAGTTTACACATTACCTTGTTCCCACTGGTGGGGAACGAAAGAATATTCAATGCGTTTCTTTTTTATTACCGTCGCAATCTTAAACGTGTCCATTATGTGCAATAAAAACAAAAAGTCCTCTATAATAACACTCACAATCCCAAAACACAAAACTTTTACAAATAATAAGCAAAGAAAACTAATTTGGTTTTCTAGTTAGTTAGTGTTCTAGTTTAGGCCAGTTCGGTAATTGCATCGGCTAGCAAAAGGATAAAAATTTGACATGTCACGTGACTCTCAATAAATATTCTCATTTTAGGACACATGATTACTGTGAAAAGTTAATCGGATTGCTCGAAGATATAATTACCGAACTTAGCATAAAATATCATTGTCAACTGTCACTCAAAGAAAATAAAAGTTTTCTGTTTTACCGGCGATACTCCAAAAGTCAGGCCTTCGAGAAATGAGCTTCGACCTAATATAGCCCATTTTTTAACTTGCACCTCGAAGAAAAAATACCTTAAGCAAGAAATCTTGACCTTTGAGGTTATTTAAAGAAATCTTAACCTCACAAAAAGAAACCGGACTTTAAGGTTTTAAAATTATGAAATACCTAAATTCATAGATAAATAGTTAAAAACACCATTAGCGGCCATTTTCTTATTCAATTTGTTTTCAAAAAATATTTTTTGTGACATTGTTCTAAACTATTGAGAAAGATAAACATACGTTCATGAATAATACTACCTACCACAAGTTAAATTATCTAATTAAGAACTTTAAAAGTGTACCAAGGAAGTTAGCTGAAAAAAAGTTAGGTTAGAACCTTAAAAGTAACGATTTATTCTAAAATTATTTGTTGAAAATACATAAAATTTTAATGGCGCATAATTTTTTAGGGCCTATCGTATTTACATCTTAGAGAAAAATTTTCTCCGCAGACATAATTATCTTGTGAATCCACTTCTTACCAATAACTTATTTAAATTTACTAGGAAGTGCATATATGTAGGTATTTCATCCATATTGGATTAATGTTCAAACGGTCATGCCAGTTATTACTACACTTGTTTGTCTTCCTGGTTCATTATTGGAAAATTCATTTACATATTAAAAAGAAAAATACTTTACCTTATTCTTTCTCTTTCTTTCCCACGTTAAAATGTAGGTAGTATAAATTAGGACTATTTTTAGTAAAATTTACCTCTATTTTACCATGTTATGACCTCAGGTCGGTTATTTTTGACTTCATAGCCCATATTTCATACAAGACATTATAACCTGTTAACCTGTTTTTAACTTCCAAATTACTTTAGTTTTATTCCCCACTTTGGGAATTTTAACGTCAATTCTTGGAAATTTCGACCAATTTCCAGTAGGTCAATAATAGTCCAGGTGGTTAATTTAACGTAATTTTAACTTATATACTGCCCAAGTTTCCGGAATACAGTATGAACCACCCGGTATGTGGCATAAATCAACAAAACATTTAAAATTTGTCACTAAGCCACTCCGTGTTTTATATTATGTTCAGCTGAATTTTTAATGAACTAACCAGGTAATTACTAGGTACTAAACCTTTTTTTAATGAGAAGAATCTGTTTTAGTATCAATCTCTATCTAAATTTAATTAATAATAGTTTTGGTTTGCTTCAGAATTGTGCCTCCAGAAAAACTTGAACTCTCCTGGATGGTTAACATGTTCGTGATGAAGATTGCTGGAATTGCAACATCACCACTGGGTGTCGTGGCTGTGAGTTTATTGTGATATATAGGTAGCGATATTTTTTATATTTATTTTGATTAATAAATTTATACAAAAAATGTGTTTATTTTATTCTGGCAATATTCTATTAATTTTCGAAGTAAAACTTCTTTACGCGCGATGGGAGAAAATATTCAAAGCCGTGACAAACCACGCCCTTGACATGGCATGCCTTGACGCACAAGTTTGACGCACAAAAAAGTGGTAAGCATTGCGCAAAACACCAAAAAACCATTGATTTAAAGCCAAGCAAAGCATTATAATAAACTTCAGAGTGTACCTGTGTACCAATATCCTCTGGTTGTGTGCTAGCAAGTAAATTTTCATGCATATTTTCATTGATGGGTTTGTAGCTTCTGAATAACGGTCTAGGTAAAGCATTTAGCTCCTTTGCTAGCTCAGAATTGCAATTATTACAGTTAAGCAACTCGCATTTTCATTGGAGGACATCGTCATATTTATTTCAAACCATTAATCAACGAGAATATTCGTATAAATTAGCAAAACTACTCTAAACCACTATAAATACAAATTGTTGGTTAGGTTCAAAATTTTTTCTATTCTTAAATAAATTTAAGCGTTAACATTATTAGGGATCTGTATAAAAGTGTGTATTTTGCGCATTCCACAACATTTACAGGCTATTGACGAAACAGTAAATGTACAGATTCCAGAAATAAATTGAAAATAACATTTATATTAAAACAGCATTATATGTCAGTTTTTCAAACATGTCCTTCAAATCCTTCAATTTAACAGCTGTTACTAAGAAGTTTCACAAAAAAAGTGCACACAATTTTTTTTACTTTTTCTTCGCGTACGCTAAAGCCTCTTAAAGCCCATTACCTGTGCTATTACTCACTATTCCGATGCGTCAATCCGACAATTTGACGGAGAGCAAGTTTTTGGGACAAACAGCATCAGCGAATAATAAGTATGAGACAAGCCAGGTGCTAGATAGCTCAAACATAAAGATAGAACATAATAAAATAGACTTTTATCATTGCCAAATTCAGGTGCACAACACAAGCAGAAACAGATCCTATAATATTGACTAATCCAAATCTCTTTTAATTGGGATTAATAGAATTGGGCCATCCATTAAGTTATGCATTTATTCTTTAATCTAAAGTAGCGGGAATTTCGATTTTAGGACTATCATGAACATAAACAAGCATTTAAGGCCTGTTTGCATTTTAAGTTTAGCTTTAACATATTATTTACGTGCAGAATTGAACATTTGGCTTCGAATTTAGCCAGTTACGTAACCTGATAGTAATTCCCTGAATGATGCAACAACCAAAACAGTAAACTGAGGTATAGATAAGTTGTTTCTACTACCTACAGCATAGTAAAAGTTGAATATTAAGCGGCCCATACATTATCAAACAAATTGCGCAACAAAGCGATGCGCAACGTTGCGTCGCACAACTGATTCAGCGGTCCATACACTATCAAACAAGTTGCGCAACAAAGCGATGCGCAACGAGCCGTTGCACAACTGCCTCACCCATGCACTTAGTAAAATTTTGATCAAACTTTTTATTAAAAGTTGTGCATTGTTTGAGAAACGATCATGTCCTCAATTGCCATTGCGTCAATTATTATCGTATATACCCTAGATGATGTCGATGGTACCAAAAAACGAAAAAGAAAACAAAGAATTTGGATGAAAGAACTAAAATATTGCACAACGAAGCGCAACACACACATACACTACACAACGCGTTGCGCAAACAGTCCTCTTAACTAAAAAAAAAAAAAACTTACCTCTTGTGACCTTGACTTATTCGTGCCATGAATTTTGGTACGACTGATATTGGAGATGGAGAACTACCCTCTATAAAACCGTCCCAGATACTGGCTTTTGTCAAAGCCCTGGGACTGTATGATGAGTTATGACTCAAGAAAGGGGGACACAATGGATCTGTAAGGTCGCAGTGATTAACCCCCTTCCCACTCATTCTAAATTCTAAAAATTCTACCTCTTGTGACAGTAATCTTTGAGGCCCCTTTATGTCCTTATTTTAAAAATCTCAAATGATTAAAACATCATTAAAAAAATATTATTGAGAATAATTAATACTGAATATTATTTGTGATTTTATCATTAGATGGATATACTCGTATCCTGTTTTATCTACTTCAATTTTCAGTTGGCTAAAAGCTAACGTAAAACAAAATTTAGCTTATAAACAAACTAAACAAAATTTGTTGTACTTATTCATGGCTAAGCATTATTAAAACACACATGATAATAAAATTATACTTACATTTACATTCATTAAAATCTCATTCGAAAAGCATAAAACGTGATACCAAAAACGTAAAAAAACAAATACGTTAACCTAACCTAACTTCTAACTTATACCGCATGATAAAAAAAATGCGTCAGCGATGGCTATGAAAAGAAAATCGCTGTCAATTTATATGTAAAATTATATGGGGAATGTCATCGATATTCATTTCCATTCATTCCATTCGTTCGGTTTTTTTCGATCTTATGGTATATTTGTTATATTATTATTTATTATTAACTTGAGCGGATCTTTCATTTGAATCTTTGTTGCAATGTTGCAGAAAAAACGATTTAATCACCATTCAAAAACAATGTTTCTGTAGCAAGGTTTCATCAATCACGACACAGCGTTTAGAAATTAACATTACAAAGCAAACTGTTTGGGGATTGACTGCAATGTTGCAAATGTAATGTGAGGTTTTCTGCTTGGTGGGATTATTTAAATGTTACTTAAGATTGACATGGAAGGCTTATATGGAAAATCATGACCATGATATAGTTCTACGACCCTGGTGAGGCTCATTCAAGTCTAATAATAATATGCGAAAAATGTTCAGCGTTAAATATTTCCAAATAAGCCAAAACTGCCCTGCATCGTTCTATCAATAAACAATGGACCTGTATATAAATTGGAAACGACAATATTTTTTCAATAACAATAATAAGCCGTCCGGCTTTTCGGCCTTGCGAATTGAAGGGAAAACTGCGATTTTTTAACAGTTCATCTGTATTCGTTTATTAAACCAATACCCGGCAGCGGTACGTTGCTTTTTGTAAAACTGATTATTTTTATTATTGGAACAACAGCGGAGGTCGGTCGATACAAAAATTCTCTGTATTAATTTTTCCAGTTAAATTTTAGTGGATAACGATTGCAGAACGTATTTTAAGCTGGAATAAAAGTTTTTGAGACAGATGCGTTTGAAATATGGTGTTGGTGATGTATGTTACAATCAAAGACGTCTAAATAAAGGGAGACAAAACAAATTACATTTTATTGTGATCACGAACCGTGTTCCGCAAAAATCGATGATGACAGATTCACGCAGTATGTGATAGAATACGGTTCGAATTCCAAATTTTATTATTGTTATTAATGCTTTTTGGGTACCTATAGAAACGTTAAACTAAATTATTTGTATAGGTATATAACTTTAATTAATATACATACAGGGTTGTTTACCACATACGACACGGAGTATTGTAGCTAAATGATTAGATTTTTACAAATTGTAAGTTTTGGATTCATCGAAGGACTATTAGAGTTACAATTTAAAAATATTTTTACAAGATACAGAGTGTCCCAAATAAATAAAAAGCCAAAGTTGTATTTTTTTAAATGGAACACCCTATATATTATTACATTTTTAGTTTCTACGATTAAAATAAAGGTAAATTTGATTAAGGTTTGGAATATTTTCAATTTTGTGAAATTGCAGTAAAAATTTTAAGGCTTCATTTCTCCAAGGGTATCAAAGTTTTTAATACTAAATATTAGCTGAAGTTTATTTATTGATCAGTTATTGTGTTGCAATAATAAAAATAATACTACCTCATACAGAGTGTCTAAAAATTTATTTTAGATTATTTCTAGTTTTAAACGGCAATAAGTTGTTTAATTTAAATGGAACGCCCTGTATATTTTAGGAAAATCAGATGCACAATTTAATTGTCTATCAAATTGTATTATATCACTTTTTACCTATCCCTTCAAGTTTTCGTAGAAAATGCATTTTCTTATAGAAAATGCATTTTCTTATAATTTAAACCTCATTTATCAATAAACCCATGGAATATTGACATTTTAGATTGTTTTTAAAGCAACAAATGTACAAATTGTACAGGCTAGTAATATTATCGTTTTTAGCAAAATAATATTACTAGCCCATTTGTATGCAAAGAGAACTATTTTAAACTATTTAAATCTTTATAAAAGTGTATACCATTAAATAAATATACCACCATTATTTCCGCCCAAATACTAATTAATTACATACTTAATTATGTTCGTTAATAAATTATTCTAAATAAATGTGGATTTGAATCAGAAATCAATATAATAGTAAGTTATGAAAATGAATGTCTGTTATAAATAAGCATTTCTCAAAAAATGAAATATCATTTTTAAGGTGTTACTTTTTACCACATTATCTAATACACATACGAAATTCAGTTTTTTAGTATTTGGAGCAATTATTATTAATCAATGCAAATAGTCAATTAATGTAGTTTGAATACTGGAATCATATTAATTGATTCTCTTTAAGAAATATTTAAACAGTTTTTTTTATTTTTTAATGAAATAAACAAACTATATCGACAATATTAGTATCTGTGCTCTTTAAAAATTTAAATAAATATACCACCATTATTTCCGCCCAAATACTAATTAATTACATACTTAATTATGTTCGTTAATAAATTATTCTAAATAAATGTTGATTTGAATCAGAAATCAATATAATAGTAAGTTATGAAAATGAATGTCTGTTATAAATAAGCATTTCTCAAAAAATGAAATATCACTAGCCAACATGGCGGAATTTTATTTCGTTATTTTATAAAATTGGCATGGAGTCGGAAACAAATCATCTACATTCTATGATATTTGTATCTAAAAAGAGAGAAACTCGTGTTTGGAAAATTAATCGACAAAAAATGGAAACCTTGTTTCCAAAATGTTTCGAGTTAGCGCAATTTGTAT